CCAAGATCCCGAGAGGAGGATGGAGGAGAAGGGATTGCGGCGTGGCCATCCCCCCTGGGGGGTGATTTCTCACTTTCTGTCTCTCTGTCTCTCTCTGTCTGGCGAGCGCATGCGCCCTATAGCAAAAACCTCTCCAAAAACAAACAAAAAAAAAATTATTTCTTCTCTCTCTCTCTCTCTCTCTCTCTCTCCCCCCAGCAGACACATATGTCCTATGGTAAAAACCTAAAACAAAAACAAAATAAAAACAACCAAAAGACAGTGTTTATAAAGAGTGTTAATGACATGGGAAAAATAATTATATTATGCAGAGGAAGCAAGGCAGAATGCAAAACTGCATATTAATTGTAATTTTTTAAATATATATATTTAAGTTAATTTCCATTGACAAAGAAAGAGAGAGACCTTCCTGACAGGTCCCACCATGCCACAATCATGACGTGTTCAGGTCAACCTGGGAGCCTAACCCGGGCCTTCTCAGGCTCCAATTTCTCACAACAGCACCAAACTGCCTGTGCAGGCCCCAAACTGTACTTTTCACAGAAAAAAAGGTACACAGAGTAAGGCAAGATGTTTACAGTGGCTCTCCGGAGAGGCGGGTTGTGGGAGTTCCCTCCCTGCAGCTCTTTGTACTTTCCTCTGCTTTCCAAATTTTCCATAATGAGCCAGTGCTCCTCTGAGAAATGAAAACAGGAGTCTTGAAGCAAAGCAGAAAGGTGGCCATCCCCCCTGGGGGGTGATTTCTCACTTTCTGTCTCTCTGTCTCTCTCTGTCTGGCGAGCGCATGCGCCCTATAGCAAAAACCTCTCCAAAAACAAACAAAAAAAAAATTATTTCTTCTCTCTCTCTCTCTCTCTCTCTCTCTCGCCCCAGCAGACACATATGTCCTATGGTAAAAACCTAAAACAAAAACAAAATAAAAACAACCAAAAGACAGTGTTTATAAAGAGTGTTAATGACATGGGAAAAATAATTACATTATGCAGAGGAAGCAAGGCAGAATGCAAAACTGCATATTAATTGTAATTTTTAAATATATATATTTAAGTTAATTTCCATTGACAAAGAAAGAGAGAGACCTTCCTGACAGGTCCCACCATGCCACAATCATGACGTGTTCAGGTCAACCTGGGAGCCTAACCCGGGCCTTCTCAGGCTCCAATTTCTCACAACAGCACCAAACTGCCTGTGCAGGCCCCGAACTGTACTTTTCACAGAAAAAAAGGTACACAGAGTAAGGCAAGATGTTTACAGTGGCTCTCCGGAGAGGCGGGTTGTGGGAGTTCCCTCCCTGCAGCTCTTTGTACTTTCCTCTGCTTTCCAAATTTTCCATAATGAGCCAGTGCTCCTCTGAGAAATGAAAACAGGAGTCTTGAAGCAAAGCAGAAAGATGCCACTGCTGGCCCCCGCCCGCTCCTGCGTGCTTGGCAAGGCCCTGGGCACTGCACACCTGAATCTGAGTGGCTCCTCACTCCTGCTGCCCGCTCCGCGCAGGACAGGAGGACGCAGTGCTGGCCGTGAGATGGCCTGGGCACGGCTCCTCTTCAGGAGTCCCAGGAAGACGAATACCTAATGCCAGACATTCACTGGGCACCTCTAGTGCCCAGAAGCTGCAGAGTTGAGCAATCCATGCTGGATCACTTGCAGTCAGGTGAGGGCCTTCGCTGCCCACAGGGCATACCTCCCAGGAGCAGGATGCCTGCGGACTGCGTGCACACGGATACTCTCAGCTTCCACTGTCCACTGCTTCGCTCCAAAAAGATGCCACCAAAGCACCCTTCCTCCTTCTCCATTTAAGCCCACCCATCTGAACCAGCTCTCTGGACCCAACAGAGCCACGCCCACACACCACAGGCCACGCCCACTCGTCAGGCCACGCCCACCAGGCCCCAAGGCTCTGGGGTGCCACAGGGGCCTCTTTCCACCAACCAGGACCAACATGGGCACTACACAGCTTCCTGGCTCACTTGTTTCTTTTCTCCCCCTCTCAGTTGTTAACATATTTACCTTTGGACTACAAAGGGCCTAGGCTCCCTGCAACTGAACTTAAACGCCAGCAGGGACAACTTCTTAGGAACCACAGGGGATGGGGGAGAAGGAAAGATAGGACCCTACTCCCCCAACAAACGCTCTCCCTCTCAGCGCTCCTCTGAGAAATGAAAACAGGAGTCTTGAAGCAAAGCAGAAAGATGCCACTGCTGGCCCCCGCCCGCTCCTGCGTGCTTGGCAAGGCCCTGGGCACTGCACACCTGAATCTGAGTGGCTCCTCACTCCTGCTGCCCGCTCCGCGCAGGACAGGAGGACGCAGTGCTGGCCGTGAGATGGCCTGGGCACGGCTCCTCTTCAGGAGTCCCAGGAAGACGAATACCTAATGCCAGACATTCACTGGGCACCTCTAGTGCCCAGAAGCTGCAGAGTTGAGCAATCCATGCTGGATCACTTGCAGTCAGGTGAGGGCCTTCGCTGCCCACAGGGCATACCTCCCAGGAGCAGGATGCCTGCGGACTGCGTGCACACGGATACTCTCAGCTTCCACTGTCCACTGCTTCGCTCCAAAAAGATGCCACCAAAGCACCCTTCCTCCTTCTCCATTTAAGCCCACCCATCTGAACCAGCTCTCTGGACCCAACAGAGCCACGCCCACACACCACAGGCCACGCCCACTCATCAGGCCACGCCCACCAGGCCCCAAGGCTCTGGGGTGCCACAGGGGCCTCTTTCCACCAACCAGGACCAACATGGGCACTACACAGCTTCCTGGCTCACTTGTTTCTTTTCTCCCCCTCTCAGTTGTTAACATATTTACCTTTGGACTACAAAGGGCCTAGGCTCCCTGCAACTGAACTTAAACGCCAGCAGGGACAACTTCTTAGGAACCACAGGGGATGGGGGGAGAAGGAAAGATAGGACCCTACTCCCCCAACAAACGCTCTCCCTCTCAGCAAACCCCACTGCCAAGTGCCTACACTATGCCAGGCACTCCATCAGCCATAGAGAAGCACCGCCAGCAGTGACAGGGGCAGCCAGATCCCTTGCTCACTCGGCTGCAAAGTGGGGTGCCACTGCTGAAGTCTTGCCGTGAGTTACTGGAGGACGGGGTGGGGGTCAGGACAGGCTCCTGAGGGGAGGGGATGTGTGTTGGACCCTCAGAAGGCCAGGAGGAGCTAGCCTGGTGAGTAAGAACAGCCTGGCCAGGCACTGCAAGTAGGGCGGCAGGCCAAAGCCGGGGGCCATGAAAGGCTGCGCCCGCTGGCAGTCCAGGCCACGGCCTGTGTGCCAGGCTTTTGCCTGCTGGCTGCAGGGAGCCGCGGGAGGATGCCGGACGTGGAGGGCAACAGCAGCTCCTAAGGAGGCCCAGCTCTCTGCCCTTCTCTAGCACAGTCCCGGGCCCACGTCAGGGCAGGGGCTTTGAGCACGCCCTGGTCTCTGGTTTATTCCAGTCCATGCTCAGGAACAATGGTGGCCGGGCACCCGGGCCAGTGACTCTGGGTCCTGGTTCATGTTAGAGTCACTTGCAGA